GGGAGCGCCGCTGCGCTTCCCAAGCGGCGCACTATCCAGTGCACCACCGGGCCGGCCCGAAAGTATGAGTTTTAATGACTATGTGGTATTCCATTCTTTGGATATAACATTAATTGTATCAAATTTCCTGCTATTAGACTTAAGCTTGTTTCCAGTTTTTTGCTCATATGTATAATGCTGTGATCACTATCATTATACGACAGTACTTCAAAAATTTTGTGGAAAAATTGAATTAAAAGATAATACAAATCTTTCCATGAGCTTTTTGAAGACCCCCCCTCATATATGTCTTTATGCATGTCTGATTATTTAAATTTAGGTTAAAAGTTTTAAAAGCCTTGACTTTTTTGGTTTACCATTTATGTACTGATATGATAGAAAATATAAAATATGTATTCATTGGTGATGCTAAGGACAGAGAGGAGAAATTAGAGTTGGAGAAGACTTGACAGTCTTGGACCAGAAGTGGGAAGTAGTTTTAGAGGAAGGGAACCCATTCCTGAGTAGCTATTTAGCACAGTAGAACTATATTGATTTTCAGTTTCTGCCCTTGATTGTTGAAATTCTGGGAATCAGTATCATCTTTGAGTTATCAAAACAACATCCTTAAAACACGAGAAATTCATATAGTAGCATTTCATTCCATTAATATTAAAAATGTATTCCATTTTTGCTGTCTCTAGAAGACTTAGAATTGGCTAAGAGTCAAAAAGGAAGTCATATAGTGATCTTATGCTCATAATTATAGGAAGCATTTTAGACAAGTCCATTTAATTTTCAAAACATAGCTACTTGAAATTTTATAATGGTTTGATAAGAGATATTTTACCTCAAAAATACTGAATTTTTTTACTTTCATGATTATATTGCATTCTTTCATCTATTTGAGTTCAAAAATGAAATTAAAGCTTTCATTTTAAAGATTTAAAAGAGCAAGGCCAAATGAACTAATGAATGTTCATTCTTATTAGAAAAAATAATAGGGCAGGGTATATTTTAGTCCTTTTACAATCAGTCTTTTCTATAGATTTTGGGACAGATTTACTTAACTGAATGTGGTGGTTGTTAAAGTACATGTCTAATTTAAAAGTTTATCAAATCATTAAAGCATTTATGTGAGACTAGGATTATGTGAGAACACTATCAAACAATTAGGGTGAGACATCTTAAGACTTTCTGATAGTCAAGTGGCTGGCTCAGGTCATTGAAATCTGTCATAAAGAACTGAGGGAACAGAATAAACATGTCACGTTGTGATGTCTTTGAAGTTTGTTTGTAATGTTTTTAGGTGGATTTATTATAGAAATGATCAGTATTTTCTTTGCAATGAAATTTATTATTTTTATAGTAAAGGAAAATCACCAATGAATATTATTTTAATGAATTTTAGCCACAAGGGAACACAGAGATCATCTGCTCCAGTGGTTCCTAGCTCAGGTTCCTGAACGACAGGGTCCTCAGAGGTAGAAACAGGATCTCAACACTGGCGATGGTTCTGTAAGCCATTTTCAGATTTTCAAAAGCTTAATGGGAATTATACATTTACCTGCAATATGGCCAGGTCTGTTATTGAAAAAATGGAATTTGGCTTATTAATTCTTGCTGTAACATAAGGGTCCATAAGACCCAATTTATTTTTTGACTTTCTTTTTGAGAAGTTCTTACTATTTGTGATTGATATTTATAGCTTTTGTTCTTTCATAGAGGTCTTCTTCCAAGAACAGAGAAAAAAAAAATCACCTCATTTTATCTTAGCATTAACTATATTGGCCCGTTAGACCTTTTTATAAACCTAAAATACATTATGGATTCTGAGTGATCTTTTTTCCTGTGTCTTGAACTGCCTTGCTGTTTCATCATTGTAGATATTATTTTATCATTTATCACATATTCTCCACTATGCTGAAAAAAAAGACTAAAATATTAAAAATCGAAGAATGATGAAATTGCATAGAAGGATGGTGCAATATTGAAACAAATCATCACTATTATATCATTCATAATTTTCCTGTTGTTCAAAGTATTGCATCAGTTTTTAAGAAGATATAAAAGAAGTCTGCAGAGACTTTCATCTTTTTAGTTGTTTTATTTTAGCTTTCATTGAATATAATTGAGAATTCAAAAATTTTTGTTTTCTGCCCAAAATGGTAAAGAAAACTGACAGGAAGATATTTCACAGTTCTTAGACGAATCAGAAGATAAATGCAAAGAGATAGCATTTCTTTTTTTTTTTTTTTTTTTTTTTTTTTTTTTTTTTTTTTTTTAAAAGATGACCGGTAAGGGGATCTTAACCCTTGACTTGGTGTTGTCAGCACCACGCTCAGCCAGTGAGTGGGACCCGGTCCGCATGTGGGATCCGAACCCTCGGGTGGGAGCGCTGCCGCACTTCCCAAGCGGCGCACTTATCCAGTGCGCCACCAGGCCGGCCCACAGAGATAGCATTTCTTTTTTTTTTTTTTTAAAAGATGACCGGTAAGGGGATCTTAACCCTTGACTTGGTGTTGTCAGCACCACGCTCAGCCAGTGAGTGGGACCCGGTCCGCATGTGGGATCCGAACCCTCGGGTGGGAGCGCTGCCGCACTTCCCAAGCGGCGCACTTATCCAGTGCGCCACCAGGCCGGCCCAAAGAGATAGCATTTCTATGGACGCTAATGATAATGGTGAAATTGATCAGAAAAAACAAAATATCAGAGTATGAGTGTACAGATGATAGTATCTTAGATGAATTTTCTCCAATTCAGAAATCAATGAGTAAACAATGTATCTCTAAGTATTAAAAAAGGAAATATGCTATTCTCATATAGTTAATCTTTGAAAAGGACCTCATCACATAATACTTTGTAATAAGAACCTGGAATATCCCAGTGACAAAATGACATGTGAGTGTACTTTTTTCTTTTATGATATTTGTGCATTGAAATTTATTTGATGTGGTTTGTAACTGGACAGATGCTGAAGGTAAAGGCACAAAGGCAGACGATTAAAAGAAAATATGTTAGGTAGAAATGAAACAATTTATTGGCTTGATCATGTTAGTGAGTGATCATAAATTTAATAACGAAAATGTTCTGCAAGTATAGAGCAAAGAAGATAGCTGGGCTATTGTCTCTTCAACAAAAGTATTAGCCATCAAAGTTTTTTAAAGAACTGCATTTTGATTATGCAAGTACAAGAAGAACTGGAAGTAATGATAAGCTAGAATGTATTAGAATGCATTTGCAGTCTGAGTTGTTCAGATGATGTAAATGTGAGAAAAAGAACCAGAAGTAATGATCAGTTAGAGCCTATTAAAGATGTATTTGAAATCTGGAATCAGGATATACAAAATGCAGTGTTTTTTGCACAATATACTAAATCTAGATTTGTGCAGGACAGCTGATGCACAATTAGCTGCATTCAAAGGATGTTGCCCATTCTGGGTGAATTTACCTTCAAAACCAGTAAAACATGGAATATAAGTTTAGATTTGCTACACTCAATTTCTTAGTAAGATTTCCAATAGTTGCTTTTTCTTTTTTAATAATAGCTTTATCAAGATATAATTCACATATGTACTTTACTGTTTAAAGTGTACAATTCAGTGACTTTTAGAGTAGTCATAGAGTTGTACAACCAAAGTACTATCTAATTTTTAGAACACTTTGATCATCCTGAAAAGAAATTTCATACCCATGAGTAGTCACTCCCCATTCTCTCCTCCCTGAGCTCATGGCAACCACTGATCTGCTCTCTGTCTCTAGGAATTTATCTGTTCTGGACATTTCATATAAATGGACTTATATGTGTCCTTTTGTGACTGACTTCTTAAACATAGCATAATATTTTCAAGGTTCGTCCATGGTATAGTATGTATCAGTGCTTCATTGCTTTTTATGGCCGAATAATATTTCATTGTATGGATATATCATATTTTGTTTATCCACTCATCACTCAATGGACATTTGGGTCAGTCCCCTTTGGGGCTGTATGGATAGTGCTGCTATGAACATTCATATACACATTTTGTGTGGACTTATGTTTTCATTTCTATTGGATATTGCTGTGGGTTGAATGTGCCCCCAACTTATTGAAGCTTGATCCCATTGTAACAGTGTTAAGAGGGTAGGAAATTAGACTATGGCAGTGTTGAAAGGTGGGCCCTTCAAGAGGTAATTGAATTGTGAGGACCATAGTGTCATGAATGGATTAACCCATTCATGGAGGAATGGATTAATGGTTTAGTGAGTTGTTACAGGAGGGCTGCTGGTGGCTTTATAAGGAGAGCAAGTGGCACATTAAAGCTCTCTTGCCATTCTTACCATGTGACACCCCTGCATTACTGTAAAGAGTCACCACCCAGAAGACCCTCACCAGTTGTGTACCCTGCACCTTCGACTTCCCAGCCTTCAAAACTGTAAAAAATAAATTAAATTTTCTTATAAATTACTCAGTTTCAGGTACTCTGTATGAACAACAGAAAACGGACTAATACAGTTATATACCTAGGATCATAGAGTAACTCTATCTTTAACATTTTGAGGAACTGTCAAACTGTTTTCTAATGTGGCTGTACCATTTTACATTTCCATCAACAATATATGAGGGTTCCAGTTTCTCCATATCCTTGCCAAGACTTGTTATTGTCTTTTTGATTCCAGCCACTCCTAGTGGGTGTACAGTGGTATGTCATTGTGGTTTTGATTTGAATTTCTCTAGTGACTAGTGATGTTGAACATCGTATACTTGTTTGTCATTTGTGTATCTTCTTTGGTTAAATGCCTATTCAAATTCTTTGTCCCTTTTCAATTGGGTTCCAATAGTTGGTTTTCAGTATCTCTTACTCTTCTATAAATTATTGGAAAGTAGATTAAAGATATTTTAAAAATAGGAAAAATGGTCTACTGGACCCAGATAATGAATGGTAAAGACTGTTTTTCCTGGTATACTGAGGATTAAAATTTTTCAAAACATTGAATTTGTCTTGGAGAAAATTCTAAAAAAGTAGTCATTGTTTGAAAAACCTGGTGCTGACCTCTTTTTAAAGGTGAAAAACTTGAGGGCAAGATTAGTTACACATTTGACCTGAAATTTGGGTAAATTTCAAATAGTTAAGTACCTAGAAAAGCCTAGAAAGTTAAATATCTCTTGGTCTCTGATCTATTTATTTTAGTTATCTTTTTCTAACATATGGTTGTATTATTTGGAAGTATTTGCTTGACATAGAAGAAAAATCATTAAATATTTGTCCCTTGATTTTTATATATTCATCTTTTGTATTACCTTCCCTTTTCGTGGCTAACCTAAACCATCTTTTATGTTGAACCATGGTTTCAAGCTATTGTGTGATGGTGTTGCTTACCAACTTGTGCTAACCAGGAAAGGGTGTGGGCCCTCATTAAGGGTTTTTCTTGTGGTAAGGGGGACAAATCAGAAGCAAGAGCCACAGTTATGGCTCTACTAGTTTTAGCAAGCTGGGGGAGGAGGAGGTGTGTGGGGAGAGTTAGTAGTTGTAGGAAGGCTTGCAGCTTGCTCAGGCATGCCCCCAACAGGTAACCCCTCACCAAGTCCAACCTTGCCTGCTTCTATCCTTTTCCTCATTCTCCTCCCCAGTGGGTTATGAAAAGTAGCTCACTGAAGAGCCTAATGGAATAATTGTGTGTGTATTAAGTGCTGGAGGTGAGCAAACAGCCCCCCCTCCCCCATACACCGTTAGATACTTAATGTATCCCAGTTACACCAGGGTCAGTGTCAGCAAGAATAAAGTAGAAGATGCTCCATAGACCTCCCTGCTCTATATGCTTGTATGAGGTAGCTTCATGATCTGACTCAGGTTATTGGATTCTAGTACTTAATGTATCCCAGTTACACCAGGGTCAGTGTCAGCAAGAATAAAGTAGAAGATGCTCCGTAGACCTCCCTGCTCTATATGCTTGTATGAGGTAGCTTCATGATCTGACTCAGGTTATTGGATTCTAAGAACTTTAATTGAGGTTTAAGTCTCTGTTTGTCCCCAGCCAGTCATATCCAGCTGCTTCTTAAGCATGTCATTCTCATTGAACTTTTCATTATGTGTTTAGGAACACATTAGGTACAAATGTAAGAAATTCCCTCTACAGTAGTCCCTCAGTGTATGTGGGGATTGGTTCCAGGACCCCCGTGGATACCAAAATCTGAGGATGCTCAAGTCCCTGATATAAAATGGCATAGTATTTGCATGTAACTTATGGACGTCCTCCCGTATGCTTTAAATCATCTCTAGATCACTTACAATACCTAATACAATGTAAATCCTATGTAAACAGTTATTACACTGTTTTTTATTTGTTTTTTTTATTCGTGTATTGTTACTTTAGACTTATTTATTTAATATTTTCAGTTGTGGTTAGTTGAGGATATAAAGGGCTGACAGTATGTGAAATAAAAGATGTTATGTGGTGTTTTTAATTATTTTATAGGAGTGGCTGAAGTTCACATTTATTCTTGATTTTTCTAATTAATTCTTTATTCTTTTTTTCACCTAGATATTGAACGATATAGTAAAAGATATATGAAGTTACACAAAGAAGAATGGATACCAGGTGATTACAAAACAGACAATGTTAAAATCATTTTAAAAGGCTATCTCCTTACTCCATTTTGGGGGGTATAAATTTTCCATTTTCACAATAGGAAAATAGAGTCTGGTTCTTTTCCTGTAATAAATTAATAATATAATCTTTGGTCAACAAAGATGAAAAGATTTTTATATTATAACAAGGAAGGACTAAAGTGTTTTCATAGAAGTTCTTAAAATAAATTTTTTATAAAATAGGACTTGCCAAACCATTGTGGATTATCTAATTAAATTAGCCACAGTCATAATTTTAATTTGTAGTACCAAAAAGCACTTCTTTGCTCCTGAGAGATTTTAGATCTTTTGAGGAGAAAGCAAATATCTAGTTTTAAAGATATTTTAAGCCAAGCTCAGGGATCTTCCTTTCTTTCAAGAAGACATAGACTATTTTGAGTTGTTAAGATGTCTTTTTAACAGGAGCCATACCTAAGAATTTTGTTTTCAACATTCAAAAGTTTTACCTTGGATATAGACAGGGTGGGAAATCTCATTCAGCTCATTCATTTTGCAAATGGAAAACCCTTGCTATAGAAATGAAGTGCCCTGTGGGGTCACTTGTCTGGTATTACTAGAATCTACTACTAGGTTTCCTCATTTTATTTCACTTTCCTTTTATGTTTCTGTCCTTGGTGTTTTATAGAAACTGCCCTTATGTGAAAGGAAAAATGGCATTGACAGCATTATCGCTTTCACAGGTTATAGTGCTCTGTCTTTTTCAATGGTGATTGTTTGTAAGGTTGGGGCCCCCTGGAAACTCTCTCCGAGGTCTTTCATTTCTTCTATTTCATTAATAATCATCTCCCAAATGATTCTGTTCACATACTTCTTAATGATCTTCTATGAGTAGTTTATAAAAACTAAAATACATTCAAAGCAAAATTTATTCAGTTAAAATGACTTGAGAATTAAGTTTTTCTACAAATGCACTGAAGTTTCTATATTAGGCAATATTTTTAAATCCATTTTTTTGTTGCTTCAATTTTCTGTTTAACTTTATGCTTAAAAATTAAAAGAAACTGAAAATTTAAAGGAATTATTTAGCTGATATAGGCAAAATCATTTATTGGAGGGAGGTTTTTTTTCCAAGCTATTTATATTTTTAATTTTAAAGTTTTCAGATGATTATTAGAATTGTTTATTTCACTTTGCATCTTTTGGGAATGTGGTCACATACTTTAACTTGGGGAAAAAATTCTTCATTACAGAAGAAATATATATCAACTATAAAAAATTTACAAAATACAAAGTAGTGAAATAATAAATAATAGGTGTAATCCTAACACACGCAAACAATTACTGTGAGATTTTGTTCCCAACAAATTTTATACTGCTATTTCAGGACTATTTTAATGAACTTTTTTTCTTTATAGGAGAAAGTATATCACTGTCTATTTTGTTTTGTTTTGTTTCAGGCTAAATCTGTACAGTTAGATGCTAAGAAATTTTATTATCATTGTATGGTCAACTGTCATTGTGTTCTTTAAATGGCTATATCCAATGCCACTGATTCCTAGAAAAAACTGCAATTTTTATATTTCTTCTTTTGTTTACACAGATTGGAGAAGACTCCCAAGAGAGTTGATGCCAAGGAAAAAATGCAAAAAAGGTACATTGACTAATATAATAGTAATTCGGGTAGGAAAAGTTTATTGCTTAAATTCTATTAATATGGAATTGTCAACCTACAGTTACACTGAATGCTTTTTCTTAAAATATGTTTGGCATTTTGATTATTTTGCTAATACTTGGTGTTCTTGCTTGGATTTTTTTGTTTGTTTAGTTATTGTTCTTTTTTTAATTGTGGAATTTTGATGTGCTAGGAAAGACTTTTCAGTTAAGTAGACCTTTTTGTTTGTATATCTGCATATTTATAATGATGATACTGGCTGCATTCTAAGTTATTAACTAAAAGATTTTAAAATTGGGGAACTGTTAGAATAGAACTTTATGTTGTATATAAAAATACCAAAATGCATGTTTCCTTTTCCTTGTTCTTTAGCAATTCCATTTACTGAATAGTTGAGTATCTACACTATTGTCAGACACTGTGCTGAGGGGGATAAAACAGTGAGCAAAGTGGGAATAATCCTTGCCCTCATGGACCTTGTCGTCAAATGGAGTAAAAACATTAAACAAAAACACACTGTCCTCATTGGGAGGTCCAGGAAAGGTACTTTGAAGAAATGAATTGGAGTTAAGATTGAAGGATGAGTAGGAGTTTCCCAAGATGAGAAAAGGGGAGGGACATTGAAGAAAGACCAGGTTTGTGAAGGAAAATCCTGAGTTCAGTTCAGTCTTGTTATTTATGGTTCCTTTGAGTTATAAAAATAGCTGTTGAATATTCCTTGGAAAAAACAACACAGAAGACCTCCATGACCAAATGTGTGTGGATTTTTCCCCTGTACACCAAGCAAGCAATCAATTAATTCTGCAGCAGACACTAGCTGCGTGTCTTCTCATTCAGATATTCAGGTAATCAAAAACAACAATGTTAAAATAATTTTTAAAGGCTATCTCCCTATCCCACTTTTTTTTTTTTAGGATAAATTTTCTATTTTCAGGTTTTATTAAGGATAAATTTCCTGTTTTCACAATATCAAAATAGAGTCCAGTTCTTTTCCTGTAATTAATTAATAATATAAATCTTTTGGAAACTAAGATGAAAAGATTTTTATACTATAACAAGGAAAGACTGAGGTGTTTTTGTGGAAGTTCTTAAAATACATTTTTTATAAAAATAGGACTTGCCAAACCATTTTGGGTTTTCTTTCTTTTTTTTTTTTTTTCTCCTTTTTTTTTTGTCTTTTTTCGTGACCGGC